TTCGATGCTTTTCCTCTCTATCTGGCAAGCATTTAGCCACTTTTAATCCATCCCAATCCCCTAGAATAATATCCTTTGTGGAACCTTGTAGAAAGACCATGTCACAGCAGAAATTGTTTAATGCTCCCCTATTTTTTCCAAGAAAATAAATGTGACTTTACAGAAGTAAAATGACTTGTTCAAGGTGAAAAGAGTTAGTTACAAAATGAATACTAGCAACTCTAATTTCTGGTTATCCTTACTAGACCTTTCTTATTTCATGTGGTTTCTGTCTTTGGAGTTCAACCTTGCTATCAAAAAGTGTTGTGGAACTAGTAACTCCACTAGGTATTAAGGTGTCAGTCATAGAAACGAGGCCACCTTATTAGTACCTGCTCACTAGAATATTCTGCTCTCTACATGAGGTGAATTTCTCAAAAGTTGGGCATGAAACACTTTCAAATATTTAGATTCCAATTTGCACATACCCTTGTGCATCTTCGAAAGGACTCCAGGATACACTTTTTTATTTTGAAGCAAAGAAACTTGTTACAGTGACTATCTGCTGGCTGATTAATTCTTTTGACAGTTCTAACTGTGCTTATTGTCAGGCTGCCATTCTTATATGACATCATCATCTGATTGGTTTTGGTCACTGATTAATTCACCTTTCAGTAAAACATATTACAAATTAAACATCCACAAGGGTAAGGTATTTGTCTATTTGGTATAGCCCTGAATGCCTGATATTTAGAGTTGGGGCCTGAGATATAGGGCATGCACAAGAAGTATTTGTTGACTAGATAAATTGTATTGATTTTTAGGAATGGAGTCCCTGGCTCTGGCTCATGACTATAGAAAGCAGCTTTGGAGATGTTTCTCCTGCCTCAGTCTGCTTTATTTGAGGAGTGTGACTGACAGTTGCAAACCTTCCCTTCCTAGCTGGACTGGCACAGGTGGTCACTGACGTGATATCCTTCTTCTGGACCCCAAGCAACCAACCCACCAACCCAAGTGGATGGATCCCTCCTACCATGGCTCTCTGTCTTCCATCAGTGTGGAGTCTGTAAGACTCAAGGCAAAAGGCACTATACATGAGCGCTGCCCCCTATCTGACCAAATCATATTCCACTTGAAACCACTATCCATCTATAGTGAAACTGAATAATTAGGTAGTTAGATACTCCATGGTGAAAGCCAAGCTCCTCTCTGTTGGGAGAAGAGGCTACAGATAAGTAAGAGGAAGAAAGGAGAACCCATGAAATAAGGAATTATAGTTGGAGACATCAGTTTGAATTGATGTTAAGCTTAATAGGGAAACAGATGGTTGCATATAGAAATGTGTATAGTATATATACATATTGTATTTATACATTACATATAGATTATATAAAATGTGTATATGTGTATGTGTAACCAGAATCTTATGTCAGAAGCCCAACTCCATGGGTTCCAACATGTCAGGTCTGGCCACTTGCCCTAATAAGTAAGTTAAAGGGATTAGAAGATCAGAGAAAAGAGATTTATTCTTATTTTGTGGTACTGGGATTTGAACTCAGGGCCTTGGGCTTGGTAAGTAGATGCTCTACCACTTCCCCAGGCCTAAGAGAAAGGAGGTTTGTTAATACATCAGCTGGACACACAATGGAAAGAGGAAGTAATTATTCCAGTCCATCTTTAGGGTACAGACATGAACTTTAGGATTGAATAAAGGAAGAATTGGGGTATGGGGTGAGAAATATGTATAATTAAACAATTCCAGTAAAAGGTGTGGTGATCAAAGCTGTGGTATAGTTGATGATTATCCCAGGACTGGTCAGGTGGGGCCTTGTCACTATAAGAAAGTCATTGTTGCCTAGAGGGTAGTCTTGATTCTTGTCACAGCATGTTTATCCATCAGTTCCTAGAATCTAGGCTCAGAGCAAAGAATTCAGTGGAGGTAGAGATGCTTACTTTTATGCTTCGTTTAATTACCCTTTGGAGATTTGCAGACTCAAATGTTTTAGCAAAAGCAGTTTCTAATTGCCTGTGACACACACACACACACACACACACACACACACACTCACAGGTTGGTTTGTGCACCTATATTCTTTGGTTTGTCAGTTAAGAAGCAATGATACCCTAGTAGCAGTGAGCATACTGAGTCCTTAGATCCTGATTCTTAAAATTATTCTCCAATAAAAGGAACCAGAACTCCGTGATAAATGCCTGACTCTACGACTGGGCATATGAGATGAATCTGAAATATCTTGTATTGTCAGAAAGCAGAGAAACATTTTTATTAGCATATATGAGTTGTACAAAGTGATTTCATTGTAATATTCCACACATGCATGCAATACACCTCCATCAAATTCACCCCCTCTATTTCTTCTCCTTCTTAAAACAATTTCAGCAGGATTCTTAGCTCTATTTTCATACATGGGTATGAAGTACTTCGACCATATTCACCACCTCTTCACCTCCTTTCACTCCTCCCTCTCCCACTGTGACTAACCCCACTAAAAGGAGCTTTTTTTACATTTCCATTATTTATTTTTAAGGACTAGATTCTACATATGAGAGAGAACGTTTTTTTTTTGTTTTTCCCAGTCTGACTTATTTCACTTAATATGATTATTCTAGTTCCATCAATTTTCCTGCAAATGACATAATTTCATTCTTCTTTATGGCTGACTGATACTCCCTCATGTATATATATCACATTTTCTTTATTCATTGGTTGATGGGCACCTAGGCTCATTACATACTTTGACTATTGTGAACACTGTTACTATAAATATGGGTATACAGGTATATCATACTGACTTACATTTCTTTGTATATGTACCCAGAGGTAGTATATCAGGATCATGGTAGCTCTTTCTTTAGTTTTTTAAGTAATCGCTATACTGATTTCCATTGTGGCTGCATTAATTTACATTCTCACCAATAGCAGATAAGTGTTCCTCTTTTTCCCCCCAGTATCCAAGCCAGCATTTATTGTTGCTTGTCTTCTTCTTCTTTTCCTTCCCCTCTCCATCCCCCTCCTCTTCCTCCTCTCCCTACTTCTTGTGGTACTGGGGTTTGAACTCAGGGCCCCATGCCTTAGAAAGGTAGTTACTCTACCATTGTTTCTTGATGATAGCCATTTGACTGGGATGAGATGGAATTTCAATGATAGTTGATTTGCATTTTACTTATGGCTAAGTATAATGGTGAGTATTTTTTTAATGCCACAATGACAGGGGTATGCCAAAAGGGCATAAGAGCCAACAGAAACAACATGAAATGTTTAAAGTGGGAATAGTTTGAGCAACAATATAAATCAAATAGTATCACACTATAACCCAAAGTTATAAGAATAGTATCTGTGAGTCCCTAGTGGTATCAATAAATGATGGAATAAGTAAATAAGTGGAGAAGAAGAGACAAATGTATTTTGAAAGATTCCAGATAAAGTCTGTAGCTGTTCCACTTTTGGGAGATGGATTATAAATCCCCTCTTCTTCAGTAGGGGCTGTGCATATAGTGACTTCCTTCCCAAGAGGACAGCATATGAAAAATGGTGGGGGTGGCCCAAATAAGTTCACCATGTAGACCTGACAAACACCACCTCAGAAATGGTCAAGGTCCACAGAAGCTGTAATGAGTCATGTAGACAACAAGTACTGTTGATAAGATGTGATGAAAATGACACATCACCACTGTGGTTTCCTACCTAAAACTTATAATCTCAGTCTCTTCATGAGAAAAACATCAGATAAATCTCAATTGAATGACATTCTATAAAAAACTTTATCATTATTTCTCAATGCTGGCCCTTGAAAATGGGAGAGGAGGGCTGAAAAACATGCACAGCCAAGAAGACCCCAAGGAGCTATGACAAGAGACTGTGGTGTGGTTAAAACTAAGGAAATTCCAATAAAACTTGGACTTCAGCTAATAATAATAAGTCAACATTGCTCCAATAGTTGCAAAAACGTACCATATTAATGTTAGATGTAATAGGAAACACTAAGTGTGAGGTATGTGGGAAATTCTATATTCTATTCAGAATTATTTTTGTAAACCTAAAGTTGCACTAAAAAAATTGGAGGCTCAGGCTTGAAATTCTAGCTACTTGGGAAACTGAGATCAGGAGGATCATAGTTCAAGGCCAGTCCTAGGCAAATAGTTTTTAAGACTACATCTCCAAAATGACTAAAATGGTCTGGAGGTGCAGCTCAAGTGGAGTGTTTGCTTTGCAAGCACAAAGCCCTGAGTTCAAAATCCAGCAAAAAACAAAAGAGAGATTTGATATAGGGCTCACTTTTCCTAGAGTTTCCTCTATGGGTTTTATGAAGCTAAGATTGGCAGGGTTACTCCTGCCCTCTATCATATTCTTTTTTTCTAACAGAATTAGGTTCTCCATAGTGTTTTTGTTGTTGAGACAGTCTCTTCCTATGTTTTCCAGGCTGATCTTGAACTCTTGGGCTCAAATGACCATTGCCCTTCAGCCTTCCAAATAACTAGAACTATAGGCAGGCCCCACTGTGCCCAGTCCATGGTGGTTTTATATATTCTTTTCTCACCCTTCTAAACATTCAAATAAATAAATAAATGACAGAAGCTCTTCTTAGGCTCTGCTGTCTGTGTTGATGTCCTTAGCATACTACAGTTGTCTTCTGCAGTTTTTGGTTATGATCTGATATCATCCATGGCCTTCATTGAGGTAGGCCATGTGTGGTGTGTTCCCACAAAATATTGCCTTACTTTAACTCTTACTCACACGAGCAAACCACACTTCAAGATATGCATTTTTACATTTGCATATTCACATAGACTTCATTTTCTAAATGATTCGTTACTCCCCAGCCTTAGTAGGAGAGAGAGAGGGAGAGCGACAGAGGCTAAGGATATATTCAGAACTTACAATGTCCTCCTGAAAAGAGGCAAGATACATCTATTTTCTTTTTCTGCATTTCACATGAGGATAAAAATAATATTTCTCTGGGAGGACAGTGGGAGAATTTTCTAGGGCAATGTGGGTTGGGGTCCTAGTGTTGATTGCTGTCGTTCAGGTAGAAGTATTTGTTGCACTCTGAAGCTAAAGAGAAGGCGAAACAGATGTTTCCACTTGGGGATGACAGGACAGTGTTCAGCTACCAAATATTCTGTTGAAGTTCGAGTATGTGTGTGAGTGTGTGTGTGTGTGAGTGTGTGTGTGTGTGTGTGTGAGAGAGAGAGAGCATGCTGTCTGTGTGAATTTATTACTCCCTGTCTGATTCTGAACATGCTTTTGAACCAAAATCAGCAACAGCAGTGATCACAAAATCAGCTGATTAATTAAGCCTATGTAGGGAAATTATTTACTATTCCTAAAAGTAATAAGTGAAACGTGTTGTTTTAGTCAGTTCTTTATTCACAGTGGGATACTCT